GCAAAGCATGTAGATAGACCTGGCTCTATCTATGGAGGATTGGGACAATTAAGTGGGGGCCCATATAAAAATTCTTGATCTCTAAATCCACATGACCCCAACTTTAAATATAAGTTAGTTCCAAGAATAATTAAAAATGAGATGATCCAGAATATACATAAACTTGATGATTTTGCTGACTAAGCGATCTTGATTATTAGACTAGAGACCATACGGTGGGTCCCGGATTTTTTCCTGGCAGGCTACGCAACAGTCAACTGGGGTGCTGTTGAAGACTTTCTTTTTGCTTCATGGGGCTACAACAGGGCGTAGCCCATCCCCTTCCCTTTAGCCCCAACCCTCTGGTGGCAGCGGAAATTAATCCCAGGTCTCTACTTCGACGAGACAGAAAATCTACCAACTGAGCGGGTGCTGTTAAGACTTGACAGGCCGTTTGGGACATTTGCGTTGATCGAGCCCTCTTAAGAAAAATTACGTGAGATGGCTTCATTTTGGCTTTCTAATTTTTAACAAACACAATTTCATTATACATTAGTCATTACTTTCCCGATCTATCAATTCATATAACACCAAAAGCATGAAAACCCTCCCAGACGAGTCCGGCTTTTTTCAGGGCAGACTGCCAGAGTTAGTGCGCGCACCGTTCGCACAGCATCCGGTCCACGATAATCCTGATCGCTCAAGCTGGCTGATCACTCTTTTTGCATTAACTACTGTTGTGTAGTAAGGTTACGTATGGGGTGTCCTTGAAAGATAAGGTTTGAGGTTAAAGGGTAGGTTAAAATCTAGGGTGAATAGAATGTTAAAATGCTAAAAAATATTTTTGTTATGAGTTAAATCTCTGCTTATAGGAAAACATCATGAGGTGCAGAAAGAAAAGAGTTAAAAGTGTTTTATTCTCATTAGAAAATAAAATTTTTGATTTCATGTCAATTGTCGAAAAATACAACTAGTGTTTCGCCATATGTCTTATGAAATATTTAAAAGATGAGTTTTTCTTTCATCTAAGGATTCTCATAATATGTATGTTAATTCTTTTTTGTGAATTTTTCAAGACTAACATGGCGTGAAAGACAACAATATTATTCTCACGTGTCTTTTCGTCTTATCGGGCACTTTATCATGTGCAGGGTAAATAAATCACGTGCTTCTTCACTCGCTTTTCTAACCTGCGATGGTCCTGGACTCATTGCAAGTCTATGATGAGTTTGAGCTCATCGCAGGTTTGCGGTAATAAGTTCATCGCAAGTCTACAATGGATCTGAGCTCATTGTAGCTCTGTGATGGCCTTATGCTCATTGCATGTTCATGATGGTTCTGAGTTTCTTTTCATTATTGAGGTTTCGGGGTCTATTACGGGCCTGTGGTGGTCTTATACTCATCACAAGCCTATTTCAAGTTTTGAACTCATTGCAAGTCTTTGCAGGTTTTGAGCTCATCGCGGATATGAACCGACTCATAAACTCGTCATAACTGTTCTACTATTGTCGGTTTAGCACCTTCTATGTCCTCACAGTCGTGACAATCAACATATACCTACAATTGATAACCAGTTTTTTATTGACGTCCTCCATCGTGTTAAGCAAAAACCGGTCGGACCTCAACCAAAAAAGAGACAAACCTCTTTCAAGAATCCGCCATTAAATGTCTGGCAGAGCTCAAGAAAAGTCCCAGGAGAGAGAGCCCTGTAAATCACATTAGATGGCTCCATCAACAAAGATTCTGCTAACTTCGCAGAAGGCGACTCATTGATAGCTTGAATTTGACTCTGCGGCAAACCAATGATTGTTGGAACAGAGTACGAGCTAGAGCTACACACCTCGAAGCTTCCTATTGGCCCTCTAACTCTAAGCAATGAAGCCACCTCATGAGCCGTCGACCGGATATCATCAACAAGGAAGCTTCCTCATGAGCTTGCCAACCGCCGTCTAATCTGTAACGCCGCAATGTCATAGGCAGTGGGTGCCATCTTCGGCGTTTCGAAGTTGTCCAACCAAATTCTCGTTTTCATCCCCAGCTCATGTATCTCCAACACCCATTTCCCCATTTCCGCCTCCAAACGGCGAGGGTTGTAGCAATGGTTTCGACGGCGTTGTTGTTTGGGCGGTGGAGATTCAGGCATTCGTTGCGGCGGTTTGATACTATGTAGGGACGGTGGGGAGGAAAGATAAGAGAAGAGAACACCGGCGACGGTTCAACACATTACGTTATAAATTTACCCCAAAAAATCGCTTTACATAAATTCATTTATTTCCTTCTCTTCTTATTCTGGCCCAGATTTATTTTATTTCATCTACCAATTTTCTCTGGTCATCGGAGATAGTTGTTGGTCGCTACTGATCGGAGAGGGAGAGAATGAGAGTAAAAACGGTGGGTTCGATTCGGTATGGCAAGAGTGGTGAGAGGAGTAGGGGTGAGTATCCAAAAAAGCTGAAATTTTCAAAATCGATTTAACAAGATGGCAAACCAAATCGAAAATGAAATATGTAAAAACCAATTAAACTGAACTGAATTTTTTTTTATTATTTTTGTTAAAATCGAAATTAAGTCAAGCCTTGTTTGTTCTATAAAAAATGGAGGAGAAGACGGCCTCTGCGGCAGCCGATAGCTATGGCATTCGGCGATACTCAACAGGACAAGGAAGACGCCCTCAGCCAGTCAGCCCCTCACCCAACGGGCAGCAACAGCATAGTAGGGCACTGGTCAACCTATTCGATTGTATTCCCAAATCTAAACTTCTAAATACGGAGAGATTAGAGAGAAACTAGAGAGAGTCAGAGAGATTATTGAGGAAGGAAGATGCTTAGACTCCCACACCAATAGTGTGTTCACTCTTTTGAGTTTTGCTTTTCTTTTATTTGTCTTTCATTCTTTTGAGTTTTGCTTTTCTTTTATTTGTCTTTTACTCTTTTGAATTTTACTTTTTTTAAAAACTTAACATTAAATGAATTAATAATGTATATTGCATAATATATTAAATAGGATAAATCTCTTAATTTAGTTAATTGACATGGGTACTCTACTGTTTACCTATTGTCTTACGTACCCTTAAGTTTTCGTCCATCTTCATCTCTGTTCAGAACTACCATTATCGACAGCTGGCTTTAGAAGGTTGAAAACACTTGTTGCCTCCTCAACGACTACCGATTTGTCGTAGCTGGATTGTGAAACCCCTTCCTTTGTCGTAGCTGGATTGTGAAACTCCTCAACTACTGGAACAAAACCAGCAATTTCCATGCACTAGTGAAGATCCATATGTCGTGCTTGCTTTCAGGGTGCTATTTTGCTGACCCTATCAAACTAAAGCAAATCCAAATAAAGTGGAAGCCATGTTATACCAGCAGAAATCGTGAAAATTTAATATACTAAATTGTAAATTATAATAGCTATCACAAACGAAAACTCTAGAAAACAAATTATTGTATTAAACTGGAAAATCTTCCCCGTTAGTTGTTTTAGTAGACAAGCATACTTATCCGTCTCCAAAATTGTTTAAAAGGATCAGAAAGAAATAACTTTCAGGAAATTGCAATTAATATTTCAAGTCATTGAGAGAACACTCGACTAGCATATGGAAGTTAGGAAAAACGCTGATGCTTTGACAAGAAATTCAGTTCTAAGGGGGCGTTTTCTTTTCAGATTTTGAGAGGGAGGAAATCCTAGGAATTTTTTGTTCTTTTTTCAGATTTATGTGAGGATCATTGAAAGTTTATTTTCTTAAGTACTCATCTCTTAGGTGGATAAATAACTTTCCCACTTAGGAGAATAGTTACCAATACTTGAATGGGTAAATAAACTTAATCGAATAAATGTTTCTCAGGAAAAATTTACCCAAATAACTGCATTTACCCGAGTAAGTAACTTACTGAAAAATAAACAGACCTAAGGCATAGACGAAAAAGAGCCTATATGGCTGAAAATCACTTTTTCCTGAAAATAAGTTAAAACAAAATTGAGAAAGGAAGAAAAATCAGTTAAAACAAAATTGAGAAAGGAAGAAAAATCAACATGGGATCACGCTCACATTTGTCCTCTAGGACATCAAAAACCACATACAGCTGATCCACAAGCACGAACTTCACAATCTTTCCTATTCGCACTAATACGAAACCCGACACTGATATCAAACAGAGAAAAGCCCTAACAAAAACCCTAGTTCATTCTCCACAGGGAACAAATCAAAATACATAAGTAAAAAACAGAAAAGAAGAAAGAGCAAAGGAGCGTAGATCCAGCAAACCTTTGGTTTGCTCATTTTCGGTGAATTCCTTCTCTAGTGCCCGATCGATCATACCAACAAGCTGTCTTCTCTAGATCTCGTGTGTGAACCATTGGATTGAGTGGAATTGCTATCCCCGGAGCGAGGCAACTCAGTTTCAAGGAGAGAGAAGGAAGAGAAGTGAACACAGACCATGGAAGCGAACTCAGCTTTGTGTACTTCAACGAATGAGAGACAAAAGGCGATAAAGGCGAGGACTTCAGAGTGAACGAGAGTAGAGGATTTTGGTGGCCCATCGTCTTTGTTAGCTCAGGAGCTCAACGGAGTGACGGGAGTTTAACTGTTCATAGGTCCAATTAGCTGTCAATTCCTGGCAGGAGTTCATCAGTTTTTTTTTTTTTGCAAATTCGAAATAGTCTGAAACATTTATTTTTAGGTGGATTTCTTGCCCTAGTTCTGTTTTCAATTCAATGAAACCCTGATACAAGTAATAAAAGTATGGAATAAGTAGACTTTCAGATTAGTGATTTTAAGTAGAAAGCCAGGTATATTCTATCCTATTTAGCATATATCAAAAAAACATTGTTTTATTTTTTTTTATATGAGGCATTAATGTTGCCTTTGCATTTTGGTTACAAACTTTCTTAATTTAGACTCCCTAAGGAATTCACTATTCATTTGTATCTCTCCATAAATTTCTTACTATATTCCATTATTTCTTATATCTATTGCAGCAAGATTTGATCATTTCTCTTCTTTGAAATTTGTACAGTATGACTTCATATTGTCTAAAATATTTGCACCTTCATTTATACTTCATTTTGATTATAAACTTGCAGTTGATATCTTAGGCTGTATGTAAATGAAGCTAACCCATATGAAATTAGGTCCAATCAATTGTCAATTCCTTGTAGGAATTTTATTAGTTCTTTCTCTTTCATTTTAGCACAAAGTGATTGCTTAAGAAAATTTTACATTTTATTTTCAGCCTCCATCTTTTCTTGCATATGTTTTTGCCAAGAAAACTGGGAAAGACACCCACGTATTGATCTCTGCCTGATGTAATCCTTTAACCTATTAAAAATTTGAATTATTCACATATATATTTGCTTATTATTATACTTTGCACAGTTACCAACACTGGTTCAATTGTTTACGAGGAATAGTCTACACTATACAAATTCTTAAATTGCAAGTATAAATATTAACCTGAAATTGCCGGATGACAATCAATTAGACAATAGAAAATCTTCATATGAACCAATCCTTGATACATTGAGGTGTTGGGGCTGAATCAGGACCCCCAATGCTTATTGTGGTTAATCAACCATTGGTCTCCTTGCATCGCACGAGACATTCTACTATTTTCTAAAAAGAGAGGAATAAATAAGTATAAAAAGGTATCTCTAAAGTCCGAGTGAATTCAGCCCGAATAAGGATAATTTAGTCATTTTAGATGAGAATGGCAGGCTTTGTTGAAGAGCCCCACATTTGCCTTTGTGTTTGTTTCAATTCTTTCTTGACTCATTGGTTTATTGACTCCAACCGAGAGGGCCGCCTCGCTTGATTTCTTCTTTTGTTCCTCCTCTCTCTCATTCTTTGCACTGCCAGAGTCGCCCTTCTCTCGTCTGACTGAGTCTTAAAGAAGGGGGGACTCCCCACTTTTATGATCCTTTTCCTTTAAGCCCCCAGTTTATTTGGTAATTGTTCCTTTGCGCCTTACAACTGTAAAACAGGAAGAGAGGGAGAGAGAGAGAGAGAGAGAGAGAGAGAGAGAGTAGACATTTGCTTCCCGCATTGTCCATCCCTCCTTCCACTCCGTTTCTCATGCGTGCAAGCCATTATCAAACCTTCTTTCAATCTCTTAGTCTTCTTTCTAACGGTTTTAATTATCTGCAAGCATCTCCTGCATCCCTCACCCGAAATTCTTTGTCTCTTTCTTCATTTTCTCTGCTTTCCTACTTATATAAGTCGATCGCTTCCTCTTTCTCCAAAATTTTCATTCTTTGATCCTATTCTAGTCCCGTTTTGCCTTTCTGTTCTACAGTATTTCTGTCTGCCCGTCTGGTGGAAGAGTCTATGAATCTCAAATGTGTTTGATTGCAACAACCTTCAATATTTCTGGTTAGGGAATCTTGGGTTTGTTTTCTTTATTTATATAATATATATATATATATATATATATAGATTCGTATTTGAAGGCAAAGTTGTTCTGTTTATATTTGCCTTTTCCTTTTGGAGACCGGATCTCTGAGAGGTTTTAGTTGGAGTTTCAGGAGCTTTTCTGATAATTATTAGCTAATGATTATTGGGTTCATCTCAAAAATACAAGTTTTGCTGGAAATCAACCTTCTTTTGTGCTAGAAAGCCTCGATTGAAGTAAGAAATCTAGCTTGAAATTCGTCATTTCTTCAAGCTGAGATTTACATTACTAGCTGCAGCTTTGAGGGATCTTTTGCTTTGGTCTCAAGTCTGAACTTGCATCAATGGGAGGACAATTTAGCAAGAAGACGGGTGAAAATCCGCCCGTCCTCCAACTAAATAGCAACTTCCAGTACACAGCCGAGCTGAGCTCCTATGAAGCAGCATGCAGGCATGACCCTGAAGTGCAAACCTTTGACAGCACCCTTCAAGCCCGCACAAACCGCGTCATCAACACCCTCGCCCATGGCGTTGAGGTTCGAGCGCTCTCCTTCAACTCGCTGAGAGAAGTTACCGGATGCCTGCTTGAGATGAACCAGGAGGTCGTCAAGATCATCTTGGAATGCAAGAAAGATATCTGGAAGAATCAAGAGCTCTTTGAACTCGTGGAAGAGTACTTCGAGAACAGTTTGCAAACCTTAGATTTCTGTACCGCCATGGAGAAATGCCTCAAAAGAGCCCGGGACAGCCAATTGATCCTTCATGTCGCCCTCCAGCAGTTTGAAGAGGAAGATGGGGTAGAGGGGCAGAAGAAGTATTTGAAGACATCGGAGGAGTTAAAGAATTTCAAAGCTGCAGGAGACCCATTCACGGAGGAGTTCTTCCAGGTTTTCAATTCGGTTTATAAGCAGCAGGTACTGATGTTAGAGAAATTAATGCTTCGAAAGAGGAAACTCGATAAGAAGTTAAAATCTGTCAAAGCATGGAGAAAGGTCTCAAGCATTATCTTTGCTGCCGCCTTTGCTGCTGTTCTCATCTGCTCGGTGGTGGCTGCTGCAATGGCGGCACCCCCTGTCGCAGCTGCCCTGGCAGCTGCAACTTCAATTCCTTTAGGGTCGATGGGTAAATGGTTCGATTCACTGTGGAGGGATTACGAGGTTGCACTGAAAGGGCAGAAGGAGGTAATACACTCAATGCAGGCAGGAACTTACATTGCAATAAAGGACTTGGATAGCATTAGGGTTCTTGTTGATCGGCTGGAAATAGAGATTGAGTCTCTAATGCAAAATGCCGATTTCGCACTTCGAGAGGAGGATGCCGTAAAGATCGGAATAGATGAGATCAAGAAGAAGTTGGGGGTCTTTATGAAGAGCATTGAGGATTTGGGTGAACATGCTGACAGGTGCAGCAGGGATATAAGGAGGGCACGGACGGTAGTCCTGCAGAGGATTATTAAGCATCCCAACAACTAAAAGCTTTTTTGAAGCTTGCTCCTTCTTTGGGTAAATCTCATGCGACTTCATACTAAATATATGTTAAGCAACAACAGCTAACTCTGGATTTTTGATCCATTGAATTGGATATCTCACCTTATGGAGAACAATTTAGGAAAAGTTGATACTTTCAGGTCTAAACTTGGATGTCTCTGTGTCCAATTTTTATCATTCTTAACTGTGGGAATAAATTTATTTATTGTTTTGTACTTTTATATTGCCCTCTCATTCAAAGTTGTATTAGAGTTGTAAAGTCAAAACTTTTATGGATATTGTAATTGTTTTTGGCTTGATTATAGCCTAGAAAATTTAATAGACTGCCCTACAGTCTACAGATGTGACCTGCTGGCCATATTTGTAATTGAATCTCTGCATTATGCAGTTCTTTCTTCTTATCATAGTGGATTTAAAGTGGGGAAGTTAGTTGAAAGTGAAAATTCATATCTATTTCTTCAAGTCATTCCTTGTGATTTGTTTCACTGCACGACAACAAAAAGATTATGGAACACAACCATTCTGCTCATAAAGCACTGTTATACTTTCACACAGAAGCTCAGGCATCTATAATCTATAGTTGAACTCTATTGAATGAAAACCAGATTAGTCCTAGCAGTCTATAAACAGTTTATTTATTGTATAGTGTCAGGTCTCAATGATGGAATTAACAACAGTAGTTTTGTTTCTTGCTCTGTCCTGAAATAATGCAAATAAATCTAACCAACCCAAATAGGAATGGTAACAATAATAGTATCGGTCATTATCAGACAAGATAGCATTGCTTATGGTCCCGGCAGTTACCTCCTCCACTTAGCTATAAGTTAATTGACGTAAAAAAAATAATACACATCAAATAATTAAAATAAAGCATGAAAAAAAAAACTGAAGACATAGTTGTCCTGGTTTTGTAATTTGTTGATGAGTACACCACATTGAATTGAACCTTCTCTTCTCCCTCAACAAAGGAAGACTGAAGCCATCACAAACTAGTGTTGTGCTTGTCCAAGTATTATCTCAACTACTGATGGTAGAAATCTTACCAGTTCCAACTTGGTGGAGATATTGAGTAGGAGTAGCAATGGGCTTTCCATCAGTTAATAATGTTCAATGCTTAAGTCTCAAGACTGATGTCAATCTGTTTTGTATCAGAAAATCAAGGTTTTTTCCAAGTCCTAGGTGTCAAAATTTAGCAAGAACAGATAGAACAGCATGATGATGCAAAGGTTGGACAGAGAGAAGGAATCATGATAATGGTGTCCAAAAGCCTGTTTGCAGTGTTCTCTAAGTGTCCCAAATTTTAATGGTTGAATATGTGGTGCTGACGTGGAATCCAAAGTATCTTTGCTAGCTTCCAATCCTTTGATTTGAGTCTCACTAACCAGAGGAAGGGGAAGGTGGAGTTTTAGCATTAGGAGAAGCCTCACTTCTGAACTAAAAAAAGTTGTTGAGCAGATAAAATATTCATTCATCAAAAAAGAAATTAAGGAGTACAGTTCCTTTTATACGAGAAGGCTAGGTTGTCATTGCAAGGCAAGAAAAATTACAAAAACACTCATTAATATCCTATAGTCTTATCTCTTGTAATATGCCTTAGTTCTCCTTTTAGTTTCTTCTGCTTTGAGTCTATTAGAGTGGACTTGATACAGGCTTGCGTAGAGCCTGGCTGGGTATTGAGATAGACTTGTAGGAAAAGGGCCAAGAATGTTGGTTATTGGACATGTAAATAGACAACCCACTTTAGTTGTGGATACAAGGGCATTGATGGAGTTATGTGGGCATGGACCTATTGCCATGTGGTAGCTGCATCAATATATTTTATTTACAAGTAACAAGTTGTCTCAAAAAAGAAAACTCACTGAGGCTTGTAGACTAACTCAGAAAAATACATAGAGTTTCAAGTAGGAGTCAAGTAGTGGAGAACATTGAATATATGGACTAAGAGTTTATGAAGAAAAATACCTGATAAGAATGTCATTGCTTCTTATTATATGCTCAGAGTTAACCAGAAGAAGGTATGATCAGTATCTAGGATGAAAGATTTACATCGAATAAAAAGGGAATCCACAAATAGGTCAAGTGGTCAGCAAAGTGAAGCATTAGAACGAATTAATTTCTTAAAGAAAAGAAAGTATAGCCTTGGATATGAAAACAACTGAAGTGGTTGCAATATTTTATGAGTCTGAAGACTTTGAACTGCCCTGCTTCCTTCATTGGTGATTTGGAATTATGTTGTTAAGAAATTGTAACTTGTGGATCTAATAGGACTCATGCTATGTTTACTGATAAAAAAAGGGACTCATGCTATGTTTGACAATGCCTGGTTCTAGAAAGAGCACCAAGAGACCAGTAAGTTCTATAATTGTAACCAATATTGCCTCGGTAAGCCTAGAGGCATCTGCAGATAAAGTTGTACCAACTGATTAATGGGGCAATTGCTAGAGTTAAGTTTACATGGTTTTGTGGTCTTTCTTATCTTCAAACTACTGTCTTAACTTAGATGATTATTAGATATAAACTTATTCCTATTTACTGCTATTTTGTCAGCTACCTAGTTGTGCAGAAGTGTGTTTGTGGGTCTGATGGCAAAATCAAAAGTAGAGAGAAAAAAAAAAGAAAAAAAAATCCACATAAGAATACAAGGTTCATGTGGTTTGACAATATGTTTGTGGCCACGGGTAAAGACAAATAGAAAATCCACTGATGTTAAAGCTGACTATGACTACAGTGAAAATCCAAACCTGTAAGAGTCAAAGAGTAACCTCCCAAGAGGAACATTCTTCTGATTGTAAGACAAAAATCCCTTGTACAAAATCTCAAACTTAGAGAGCATCCACAAAGAAACTCCAGACAAAAGGTATTTGTAAACTCCCCTCACAAGAAAAAAGAACCCTAAGAGACAAAACCGGAAGTTCTCAACAGTAACCTAAATATCCTTGCACTCTTACTTTCCCTTTTTTTATATAATATAACCTTAAGAAAGGCTTAAAATCACTCATACATGAAGAAAGGGCCATTACCCAATGTTGGTCCCAGCTATCTGGGGTCTTGGGAGGGCTACACTGGATACAGACCTACAACCATTATTACATGGATCTCTGAAAAAATGTGAAAGAGAGATCATTTTTTTTGGAGTTGTCTTCAAAATTGAAATGACTTTTTTATGTGTCCAATTATTTTGTGGCCTGTTATTCAAGCCATCATCTGAATACACAGATTGTAAGGCAGTTTGTTTCCAACTTTCCATAGAATGTTGTTCCCACATAAAAGTAGATTTTGTAATCTAATTAGTTTCTTTGAATCACTTCTAGTTATTTATCTCACGCAATCCTTTCCATCTTGAGCAGTCTGGAAGAAGCTGGGGAGCTCAGTTACAAACAGAAATGCCATTCTATTGTTAGCAATGCCAAAAGAGCAAAGACCATTATCCAATGTTGGTCCCAGCTATCTGTTTTGGAGGGGTGGACTGGACATGAACCAACCTTTGGGACTTCTTTGCACAAAGTGGCTGCTCTCATACTTGAACTGAACCTGTGTTCTCACTCCTGTCAGCCCAATATTTTACCATTACACCAAGTAATGGCCCCTTGTGTAATTCTATAAAAATATGAATTGGGCTGAATACCAATGATAGAGAGTGGCATGCAGTTGTAACTTAGAGATCATCTGTTTGAATAACCATCATAGACAGCTATCACAGTTAAAATCACATGTATCATTATTGAAACCAACTGATAAGAATGCTTAATTCCATCTCTTTTGGCTATAGAACCTGTTGAAACAATTTTCCCTATACAAAAATGATCCTTTCTGAAAAGAGTCCAAACTTCACCTGGTTTCATTTTGTGCATTTTGAAACGGCTCCTTTCTTCTATCTCTTTCACAATGTTGAATTGTAATATTGCTCCTTTTTGGATCCATTGAACCAGCTACCCGTACATGGAGTTACTTTCTTAGGACTGGAAAATGGGAAATTTGGAGTTTTATTCGGATGTGACAGTGATGGAGATAGCGCTTCATGTCATGGACATGGGGTCACATTAAATTAGGTCACAACCTAGTATGTTTAGAAGAATTCATTATAAATGCGTTTAGAGAAAACTTGTTTATGGGAAATACGTTATCTACTTTTTTTTTTTCTTTGGGAAGGATACAGTTTGACTTTAATGTTGATATTTCTTTTGATTTAGGAACAACCTTTCCAGTAGTAAACCATTTGTTCTTAGAGTTTTGGATGCCCAAGGAAATTTAATTGTTAGCCATCCTTCACTTCAGCACATACAATATTATTCTTGGAAGTAGCAAAGATCAATTCTTATCTACATATTTATTGGGCAAAAAGGTAGAGTGTTGGCTACAGCATAGCAAAAGGCAAATGCTAATGTGTAAATAACACTGTCGACTCTATGCTATGAAAATGGATTGTGACTATACAACCCCCCATTTTATTGTCATGCGTGCTACTTTGTGGCCCCTGGTCGTACTTGATGACCCCAGCTCCCATGAAATGAGAATCTGAGATATTCCTCTACCCTATGATTCTTATGGGGCCCCAATATTTGTCACTCAGAGAATCAAGAGTTCAAGGCCCACCACCATTGAATGGATCCCATAAAGTTGATTAGCTGCCCTAAATTAGATTGAGATATGACTGCAATAGTGCAACTGTGTTCTTAATATATACATTTTAGCTGTGTACATGAGATGGTTGATTGTTGATGCTGAATTTTGGTTGGGACCCATCCGTTGGTTGGTTCTGAGCTTCTAATATGACCAAATGATCGAGGGCGGATTGGTAGGCTGAGAACTGAGATGCAGGAACTAAGCCCAGCCCATTGGTTTATTTCCATCCAGATCCAGTATGACAGAGAATGTGCATTCAGTGTGGATGCAATCGAATCTTGGTTTATATGCAGTTAGGACTTTGGAGACAAAAGTCCCACCACTTTCGCTTACATCAGCGACAGTATTTTATAAGAGATTTGCTTATTATTAGAAGTGGGAACCCAACATTTTGGGATGGGGGAAAAGGGTTAAAGCTACAGTCTGTCTGTCTCCTTGCGGTTTTTATTGGTTGGTTCATCTCCTCTATTTGTAATCAGAAAAACAATAGGACAATCTTAGTGTTGCTTCAATTCAATTTTTCCCTGGTTTGATTTGAAATAGAGGCTTAGACCTGCTTGGTCTTGGGCTACATTACCTCCATCCATTGGTACCTTCTCATTAAGTAATAGAGGCTAAGACCAGTTTTGAGGCTGTTTCTTTTGGGAGTGCTTAAAACTAAGTGCTTATTCAAAATAAGTATTTATTTGGGCCATTAAGCACTTATTGGTATTTGGGAAATAAGTGCTTATTTTAAAATAAGGGCTTATTTTTTTAAGCCCAAATTTCCAGCTTTTTTTAAGTGCTTATATAATAAGCACTTATTTAATTTTTTTCTTCCAAAATTATCCCTAGTTGAATTTTAAAATCCACTTATTAAATTATCCCTAGTTGAATTTTATAGAAGCACTTTTATAAAAGTATTTTTATGAAAATGTTTTTACAAAAAGCACTTTTATAGAAGTACTTTTACGAAAGCACTTTTATAAAATCACTTTTATGAGTATTCTTGTGAAAGTACTTTTATGAAAGCACTTTTAAAAAAGTACATTTAAAAAAAAACTTTTATAAAAGTGCTTTCATAAAAGTACTTTCACAAAAGTGCTTTCATAAGAGTACTTTCTTAAAAGTGCTTCGTAAAAGTACTTTTATAAAAGTGTTTCATTAAAGCACTTTCATAAAAGTGTTTTTATAAAAGTACTTTAATAAAAGTGTTTTAATAGAAGTAATTTAATAAAATTGCTTTCGAAGGGTATATTTTGAAAATTTGAAAGAAAATGAAGGACAAAATAGTCACAAATGCTTATTTAAGTGCTTATTAGAGAAAAAGACTACCGAACGCCCAATATAAAATAAGTGCTTATTTTAAAAAGTTGGGTGCCAAAAGCAGCAATTAAGTGCTTATTTGAATAAGCACTTGTTTTAAGCAATTATTCAATAAACACTTATTTTTAACTTAAGCACTCCCAAACATGGCCTAAATTTATGAATGATGTAAACAAATACATTTTGCTGCCTGATTCTTTCCTATTACCCGTCGTTTTTATGATGTTAAGTTTATTTTATTTCATTTCATTTTTAAACAAAATAATTATAATTTACAATTCTATTAAAATAGATTCAAAATATATTTAATCATATTTTAAAAAATATCCCCACGGGGCAGGATTGCTATCTTTGTCCCTGACCTCATTCTTGTTCCATGGGGAAATCATCTCCATTCAAATGGGGTATTTCCCAGTGTGGATTGAGGAAATGGAGAAAATTGTCATCTTGTTGGACCTGAGTCTGACTCCCCTACATTTTATCATAGATCCACAAAATTTCTTGTACTTCTATATGTAGTAAAAGAGGAACGTAGTTAAAACATGAAGGATTTCCATCAGGATCCTTGTATCATCCAACATGGTGATGTTGTTCAATATGTACATTTTGTTTTTCAAAACAGAAAACAACCATCATGTAAATACAGTAATGATTGTATTAAGGGGATGTTTGCCAATATTTAGGGTTTTGTTTTGTAAACAAAGTAAATGCAATGCAATGCAGCATACATCAGCAAAATCAAAGTCGTATACAGATTTGCCCAAACCTCCTAGATTGCGAGCCTCAGGGTTACTTCTCATGTTATACAATTTTGCGAATCTTCTAGACTCCCTATCTGCTAGCAGCCTAGCTAACACCATTTACTTCCAAGTCTTGCATTACATTAAGGCCCCATTTGGTTTGTGGGAATACGGGTCTGGAATCAGAATCAAGATGGGTTATTTTGATTTCAACTGCTTGGTTGAGTGGAATCGGAATCCCATTTCCATTGCATTCTCCCACTTGAAATTCCCGCTGATTTAAATTCTCATTCTCATATCTGTCTGAACCAAACAAACTATAGGAATGGACTATTCCAATTCTGATTACAAAGAATTATGATTTCAATTCCGATTCCAATTACAAACCAAATGGATCCTAGTTACTTATTTTGCTACTAAATCAGCTTAATTGTCTTCTAAACATATTGGCAAAGCATTGTAGTGTATTTTCTATCTCCATCATCTATTAGAACTACTTCTAGGTTTCTATTAATAAGCTTGTTTCTAATTTTATTCGTATAGTCTTAACACCAATCTTTTTATTTTATGCTATTTCTTTTTCTTACGTTTAGTAGGGAACTTTCCCTGCACGACTACTCAGCTTATTTCTGCCATGCGTGGAGATGATGATGATATTATATATCCATCTAAACAACTATCGGTTGGATGGGATTAGCCACCTACCTGCTGCCACCGTCTCAGTTAACCCACACCACACCTTTGTATTGACGTTCGTTTTGCCAATGTAATATAAGGCTAGGAGTTTTTCTTTAATGAATTTGAAAGTAGTAACATGAAAGGAATTAATCCCAACTCCCAAGTCTCCGCTTTAACGGGTTAAGATCTTACCAATCAAGCTAATTGCCACCTTCCATTTGGCACTTCACTTGAGAGAGGATTTTTATTTAGCTAAAGGATTATGAGGGAAGAGTCATAACTCATAACTGGTAATACATTGACAAACAATCATGGCCTGTCCAAATGAGAGAGAGAGATAGAGAGAGCAACAACATTAGGGTATAGCGTAGATTGAAACCAATCGATGCACGGAACATCTTCAGAATCAAATTAAACACGCCTTAGTCAAGGCTATCTTTGTCTGTTTCATGCGTTTGATCAGTCTCAAAACTATCCAACTTGGTATAATTTGAGACCAGAGCTTGAAGCATAAGATTGGCGTGCGACACGTGCACGATACCCAACAAAATGATAGGGCAAAGGATTATTAATCGAAAGATAGAGATGGGTCAGTGCTTGAACCGGATACACAATTTGACTCGAGCAAGTTCTATGACTTTATTCTACGTTTTATCCTTTCTTACATGAAGAAAATGGTCCAGCCTTTTAGTTTAGTGTTTAACACTAAATGGAAGTTTATTTTGCGTTTGTTTTTTGCATCTGATTAAACGTTTGTTGAGTAATCTGTAATCTACGTATCCCAACTTAGATTAGTTGTAATGTGAATCGGTAGGTTGACCCATGACCCAACCCAGTTTTTTCGATTTGGATTGGGTTGATTCATTCTCAAATTCAGATATTTAAATATGAGATCGTAACCCTATTTTTTCGGATTGAATTGGACGGGATCGCAACTTTTTGCCAGATTTACATATTGGCATGATAGACAGTGATAGGCGCATCCATTTATAAATAATCAGGCACAACCTTCATGAAAAGGAAAATAGCTCTAAGAAGTGGTGGTTGTATTGGATAGACGAAGGAACGGAAACTTGAGAGGATGATAATAATGAAGCTAGCTGTAAGGGATGAAAGATGAGTGGACGATTTGAAAACCTTAAGTGGGCTCTATTTGGGCTAGGCTAGACAGCTTTTGTCCATTAAACAACTCTTAGAGCTCTTTTCGTTAAAAGAGTAACCTATTGATTTTTGCAAATCAATCAAAAGATTATTAGAATGAATCATTTCTTGGCCCAATCAAATTCATAAGCATAGGCCTAAAAAAAGCGTGGTTTCATTATGTTTTTTTGTTTTCATACTTTCCTACTATATTTGGTTTCTTATTAGAATTCTCATATATATAATGATAGTATTAGTGTGAAAGAAGATTACATGAAGC